TTCCAAATTAAAGAAATTTTTTTCAAGGATTCATGTCCTACATATGCCCTTAAGCAGCTAGACTGTATTTGGTGTATTTCTAGCTTATGCTTTTCAGTTCAGTCTTATCCAAATGAAATATTCAGTTCGTATGCTCTACAACTGCTCGATGATGTGAGACAAAACATTTCAGCAGGTGAGATCAGGAGATTCCATTCAAAAAGCACGCTGCTGGTCCAAACTAAAACCCTAACATAAATGATGCCTGAGCAAGCAGGTCTCAAAGGACCCCTGAAAGCCAGAGGGATGGGACAACAGTAGCAGCATGTTTTCTGGTTTTGATCCTCCTCCTGGGTCTTTGCTTTTTACTGCTATCCCGCTTTGGGAGCGGTCTCATTCCAGTACTCCACTCAAACAAGGACGGATGAGGAAGAAACATGCACCTAGCCTGTTTCTATTTATTCAGGTACGACGAATACTAGCAACAGTATGAATTGTTCCAAAGACAATTTAAAAACAAGCTAAAGACAGGAAGTGCTATATTAGCGAGACTAAAGCAGCTAGCTGGAGGACAGAGAACCAAAGACCTTCTATACATTAATTTGCTATGCCACATGCTACTGCATTTTGTTCCTATGGCTTGTGTCTGCAGTATCACATTCCAGCCCATAACATTATTTAGTCGTTTTGTAAGATTAGAAAGAAGAGAAAATAATCCAACCAGATCTACTATTTGGCTCAACATCTGGGGACTGCTTAATCAAAGCACAAAGGGTTCTTTGATACGCCGGGGGTACCAGGCCTGGGCCTGCAGACCCTCGCAGGGCCTGGCCGCAGCCTGCCCGACCCGCAGGCACACACCTGTCAGAACCCCGTCCAGCCCCCAGCTCCCGCTGCCAGCGTCACCTCCTCAACAAAGAGCTTTTCAGGCATCGAAAAGTCACAGCCTGGCTACAAGAACCGTATCAAATCCTACTTCTGATAACTAAATTCCATTTAATCTATTCATAATCCCTTAAATACTGCCAATATTTGTCTTTGATTGAGGAAAAAAGAAAACCCAAACCCATGGGGTTTGGTTTAAACCCTTTAACAGGCTCTCCCAGCGAGATGGGAGATGCGGACAGGTTCTGCGCCTCCCCTTCAACGGGCTCTCCGGCCCGAGGCCGCCATCAACC